CAGCCAAACAGATAGACAGACAGAGAGACAGACAGACAGGGAGAGAAAGAAAGGGGTTTTTTTTGTTTGAGTAAAGAGAAGTACATCTACACAATACTAGCCATTTAGAGCTGGAAAAGGGTTAGACGAACAGACACAGAAACAGTAGAGGGAAAAGTGAAGAAGTAAAACATACCAATGGCGCCCTCCCACCACCCGCAGAAAGATAGAGAGACGGAGAGAGGGGGAAAAGAAATAGAAAGAGTGAAAGAAGAGAGAGTGAGACATACAGACTGACGGACCGAGATAGAGAGCTTAGAGCATGTCGTATTCCATCTCCTTTGTGATCCCAGCTGACAGGAGGCCCGTATGTACCTTGACAAGACAGCTCTATCCTATCCAGACCTGCTTCTTTTGGGTTTTACCGGTTACTTTTTATCGAGATTTTTGCAAGACTCACGTCAGAGAGAGCAGTCCGTACCTTGAACGAGAGAGCTCAGTCTTAACCTCTCCGTTAATAAGAAAAGAAGGGTACAATTCGTCACAGGTAAATGTACTTGATGACCACGCCAGTTTTTATCTCTTAAGAAACCGTCGGTGAAATGGATGGAAGCTGACACATCTGTTGACTTTTTTTCGAACGTTCATCTCGTATCGAATATCTGATCTGTTTACTCTGTGTGTTTTACCCATTAGGGTGGCTACACGATGTCCAAGGACTTCTGTCTGTGGTGTAATCTGGTAAAACGTAACGAGTCTAGACTTTGAATAAATTATTGAACGTTCGTGGTTGGCTGGTGCTCTAGTGTTGTCGGTTCCTTCTCTCCTATTTAACATCTCTCGTTCTTATCTCTCCTCCTTCTTTTTGTGTTTGTTATTATTTTGTAATCTTCGGCAATTACATGATCTCATTGTGTTGCAAGTGTTACTAAAACCCAAAAAAACTAAACAAATGAAAGCATCTTGGTGTTGAGTTACTGGGTCCTATATATTATACTTCCTTCATACTCAACCATTTATTTAGAAAACTGTTTTCATTTACAATTTTCACTGTGTAAGAGGTTATAACTTTTTACCCAGAAGATACCACTTTGAGCTTTGATGTGAATGGCCCTGGCTCGAATCCACAATGGGGCATTCGTGAAATTGGATTGCTTGAAAAGTTTAAATCCCTTCAATTTGCTTGGTTAAATCTGAGACTGGCGTTAACCTCCGAGGTCCAGCCTCTTAAACAATTTGGAAAAGTTGACAGGGGCTTTAACCCCCTTCAAATACCAATCACCACGTTTCTCAAACTTAAAGCACTTACTAGGTTTTTACCTGTTCACTGCAGTCGTTTACTTGATTCATCTGTGTCTTTGTCCCCAGACCAAGCGCCGTGTGAGCTGTCCTGTAAGTCTGAGGGCTTCGGATACTACGCAAGGTTTAAGAAGACAGTGGTTGATGGGGTCATCTGTAATGAGGAAAACACAGCAGTCTGTATGCAGGGGCGGTGTGTGGTGAGTACATACTGGAACGTATTGTGATGACTATTGTTGATGACGCTGGGGGCAGGCTATCCGATAGCATGGTTCCGGCGTGTATGTGTGCGGGTGTGTATTTGTGTGTATTTGTGAGTGTGTATGTGTGTATGCAAGAGGGGGGGGCTGGAGGGAGTATACAGCTCAAAGTGACCGTGTTGCAAAAAGAGTGTTATGACCCAATATGTTCTTTTGAATTTGAAGAAAGAAGAGAAACCGTGAAGAGTAATACCGACAGACAGACAGACAAACAGAAAAAGAGATAAAGAGACAGACAGACAGACAGACAGAAAGACAGACAGATAGATAGAAGGAGGGGTTGAAGATGATGCTTTAATGAAGTCTGCTAACAGACAGATAGACAGACAGACAAGGAGAGGCAGAGACAAATAAAAGAAAGGAGTTGGTGAAGATGATGCTTTAATAAAGTGTGCTTAACTAATTATTGCACGGAGCCTCAACACCAGAAGTCAAAAGGAATGATACGAAGACATATCTAGTTATCATATAGACATGTGGTATTGGCAAACAGTCTGGTGCCTCGTTATTACGAGCATCCTGACTCGGTGTCAGCAGCGCCCTGAACGCCGGCGACTATCAAAAAGCAACAAAACACACAGGTCGATCATCGGCGCGCTAAACGTTGATAAAGGGAAGCAATAAACACAAGGGACGCGACCTGCTAAAGTCACTATATCGTACCCCGTCCATTTCCGGTGGGCCTCCTTATCGCCGGGGAAGGAATGACGGTTGACGTGACAGTTGACATGGCGATTTGTCACCGAAACCCGATCGTTTTCAAACTGGCAGACGCCTCATAATGTCTTAGCCATTTATCCGTGCCAGAGGCATGTAATTATTTGACCCACTGACGCCAATTTTCCTCGTGTTGTTGTCCAGTTATCTCATCCGGCCTGCCAGGACAAGGCATGAGGTTCCCATGAGATAATATATCAGGCTGACCTCCAACCTGTGTCGCCTTTCAACTCTCCAACGAGATTCGATCATGGCTTGTCTCTCGCCGCGAAATTGGAAACCCATTCATTGAACTTAGCGCAGGGAGCGTGTGGCCAGGTTTTCAAAACGTGCAAGTTTCTGAAACTATGTTTTGATTTTTGTTTTTGTTTTGTTGTTGTTACTTTGTTTTTGTTTTGTTGTTGTTTTTTCTTGGGG